AATAACCCGCTTCGTGATTCCTCAAGTGTACTGCCAATTTTTCCGGTTATTCTTCTGTTCAATATTTTTTTTAGTATATTTGCATAACATTACTTAAGAGTGTAATCAGTACTATCTAAGCCTTCTGGCAGTCAACTGGTATCTGTTCGTATGGCATTAAATAACTTTAGTAATGCATTTAATTTCATTTTGCCAAAAAAGTCACTTAATACTGTATGCGTTATACTAACGATATGAAAGATATTAATTTTTCTCTTTGTTTCAGATGGACTGTGTTGTTCTAACCCTAGCTTGTGACTTAGTCGAGAAAAAAGCAAAAAAGTTTAGACAAACATGCATTTACCTGCAACTTCGTAACAGAAATGAAGACGCTACTATTGTACAACTTACAGATATGTCGGCATATTTAATGCCCAAATTTACTGCTGGTGGATTTTTTGTCATAAACCAGCACCTTTTAACATCGTTTATTTCCAATGTAATGACATATTTTATAATCATTTTACAGTTAATGTAATATTGTAATTACCTTAAGACTAGTATACTTTGATTGGAAACAATTTGTGGAAGATCAAACTTCTCTGAAGTTTATTTATATATTCTTACCGGATCACATATAAGTTTTATGTAAGGAGGCTGGGGCACAATGAAACATATAGGCTAGTTTTACCCATAGCTATTCCAACTGAGACATTTTTTAACTTTTTATTTTTTTCTTGTTATCTTAGAATAACGTTACTTTTTTGCATTATGTGTGACTGTGAGCAGCCATTTTTCACAAAATTAATTTATTTTTATTACGCTCTATTCCCGAGATACAATAAACCATAGCAAGGGGTACTATGAAACGATTGAAAAAAACATATCTAAAGAAAAAACTTTATTATTCAATTATTCTAAAGTAGTAAGAAAAGGCATCTGGAGTAAAAATAAGTTCAAGTGGTTCTATTGAGGCACAAACATGAAATTATTTTACATTTTACTCATGTAAAAATGGTGAAATCGATCCCAAATAAAATTAAACCTTTTTGTCTCTAAGTATCGTTACTCACAGACGAATTTCCCAACAGCATATTTAGGTATACGGACTTCGGACTTCGGCAGTATCGGACCATACTTCAAGGTAAAGTGCATGGGAAAAGACGTCCAGGACGAAGAAGAATATTCTGGCTGTATAACCTGATAAAATGGTTTAACTTAACCACTACCGGACTTTTCAGGGCAGCAGTCAACAAAGTCAGAATAGCCATGTTAGTGTCCAACATCCGTAACGGATAGGCACCATAAGAAGAGAAGAATATTTAGTTCTGTGGAGGCTTCATGAAGTTATTGCATTTTCGGTATCGTAAGAATTTAAACTCATAGTCTCCCTTTCATCTTGATCTTGGTGATCCGATCAACGTAGAATTTGGATTGGCTCCTAGTTTTGAATTAAATTGAGATATAACCATCTAAAGCAGGAAGACGAAACAATTCTGTAAAGTTATCAGACTCAGCAGCAAACAAATTTATCCTTGTCCATATTGTAGTCCATGTCCTCATATTTAACATCTCGTAGCTATCACACTCTTGCCTTTCTTCCTCGATTTTCGACCAGTTTTCCCTTCTTCTGCTTTTGGATAACAACGAAAATTATCACCAGATGGGAAGGAAGGGCCTGGAAAACTGCGGCCACTTATCCATTCCCAAAATGCCTTACAGAGGGACTTCGACCAGTCTATATCTTTTTACATGAAAGATAAATAAAACGCAGTTGTGGAGGTGGACAAGGTCCAGCTACAGAGTCTTACATCGGACATCCATGGTATCAGAGACCTTATTTGGGAGTCGAAACCAGACTAGCCGAGAGTTCCATCATTGTCTCGTTGTTCTTTACTTTTGGTTGATTCTCTTAGTTGATAATTTTGTTGTCCTGTTATAGGTAAAGCACCTCTTCCGGACGTGGTTTGGTGTTGGCTTTTGTCGCTGCTTTTGGGCTTACGGGTGGTACGCTTTGTTGGATGATGTCCGGCGAAGGAGGTGGATTCAGGGTGGTCAAAGGTGAAAGGGTTGTTGACCTAAAACGGTCCTTTTCAGAATTTCATTAGTAAAAAAATTATATGGTTATGAATTGTGACTTAATTTGACATTTGACATTGACATTTTTTTTTAATTGCCGTATTGTCAGAAGGTATCTATTGGATCCTGACAGGCAACAGTGGGGGAAATCTTTTTTGGACATCTACGTCACCGAACAAGACACCCTGGCATCATTCGGCCGAGTAGGATACTAGGCCAGAAAACCCCAGGGTAGTGCCGGATTAACCGTGTTCCGGCTAAAACCTTAACCACCATTCCAGAGAGGTGGTCTGGGCCACTCAATGAACAACTAAAATAGAAAAGTAAAAATTTATAAATACCTGTCGTTGATTTCACTCGAAATCAATGTGATTAAACAAAAAAGACTTCCAAGTGAAGATTTATTTTTACTATTTCCAATTTACAATATTAAAAAACAAGTTAAAAAAACTGAGTCCGTTAACAAAACGTTTATATATTTTATCTTGCACCGATGATTATATTGCAATGCTTTTCGTTCCACCAACTTCCCCAAACTGCTCACGCGGCGGCGTTGCCACTTACTTCCAAAAGTCGCAGAAGTCGGAACAATAACCATACCTATTACCGTAAATCAGAAAATGTTTCAGACGTTAGGCCATAAACTAATAAATAATATTAACCATAAATTTCAGATTCCTGGCTCAACTTCCTTTTCTGTCCTCTTGCTCCATTTTCTTCGTCACCCAGAAATCAGACAGTATACTTCTCTCCATTCTTTCTCTCCTTTCAACATTATGTTTACAATGTTTCTTTCATCCAGCCCGAAACCCATTTATCTCTCAAAATCTGCCCTCTCATTTGCTCATCTCTGGCAGTTCAAAATGTGGGCGGGAGCGTCCGGTATCACACAAACAGTACAGTCTGCCAAGGCAGAATTGCCTATTCTATTTGTGAAGGAGCCAAAACTACCATATCCGGTCAGAAACTGCGTCAGGAGGTAGTCTAGTTTCCTAAACTTACATTCCCACCACGGTCTCAGATCGAGAATAAGCTCCTTCGTCCACCTTGCCCTTCCGCTATTATTCGCCCATTCTCTCTGGCCACTCTAGTATCGTTCTTTTTTTCTCATTCTCATCTATATTTACATATATCCTCCTCGCATAACACCCTAGCTCGCTTTATGCACAACAAAACGATCGCTATCACCACTCCAATGACATATGGAGTTTCAATTAAAACTGCCCTATATGCGCTAGATACTCCAGATTTCGGTTCAGATACTTTCCAGTGGAAGATCATCGGCATAAGCTACAAAAGTACATCCCCTTGGCATATGTACATGGCACATTCCACAGGATGGGACCTAGTACTGAACCTTGCGGAACACCCTGCGACTAACTAACAACTAATGTTCGACAATACTGCCCAAAATATTTTCGTTCAGTATTAAGAAGAAGAAGAACTATCGGTTCGTTCCCTCGTACATCAACCAACTCATTTTGTTTGGAAAAGGGAATGTTTTTTAAAACCGGACCATTGGTGGTTCTAGCGACGAATTTTGCGACGATTCACCTAAGATGTATTAGATACATTAATATAAAAACTAATTTAAAAAAAGTTTAATTGATTAATTTATCTCTCTTATTATTCCACGGGTTTTATGTACTGCTGCTATCGTCGTCAAACTCGTTAAACTTTTATTCCATGCCGCTATCCGCAAACGAGTCTTTTTTTGTCATCATTTTCAAAAATTAACGTTTCCATTAAGCTAATTGTCAAGTTTTTATCATTCCTAAAATATATTTTAGGGCGTTTAACCTTGGGACCTGATTCAATCAATATCCATATTTCTTTCTGTACAAGATTCAGCTGTGTCCAAAAAATTCGCAAACGAAATAAAAAAAAACTCGCCTTATACTCTCGTAAAACGCTGACAAAAATAGATACATATATCCCACTTCTATGCCGAATTCATACTAAAGATTGAAATGTAAGCAAATACATGTCGTTCAGTGTTGTTCGGTGGTTCAGTGGCGACCATGGTACAATGAACACAAGGTATGATACATACTGTTCCAAAATCGGTTCGCTTTCGCGCATGACGTAGTCAAGACCGCTTATTCCCGCAACATTTGAATGTAGTTGTATAGTACAATCTTGTATTCATTGTACCATGAGTGGCGACAACCTCCCTGCAGAGAAAAACCTAATATCGCCGATGAGCATGCGCAGCGAACGTGTTAAATTGAACACCTTTGTCCCATCACCAAATTCTGGATACTGTTTGTACATTTCCAAATTATTGAAAAACCGATCTACATTCTCCTTGGTGAAAGAAGTAGCGCAATATAGACTGCGAGCCTCAGGGTTTTTGGGAGAGTTTGGAGTGCGTTTTAAAAAAATTATAAAACCAGTCAATGCCTGCTAGCTTCTTTTTTTTTGTATGATGGAGGACATGGTATTTTGTTCATCACTGCCATTTCATATGCAAGTCGTCAATAATCTTCTACTGGTAGACCATAATTTATTTTGGAGGACAAAATTAGGAAGTTTTTTAGTTTTTCCTCTTGATCTGCCGTGAAAATCATCCTAAATCAATAATTAGGCACATATCTTACATTTCCTTCACTATGTGCTTTCGTTTTTATTACATTTCCTGATAACGTGACATGGTTCATATTCTTTAGAATAGCAGCACGTCTCACACTGCATCCACCCAAGACCCTTCTGTCTTTATGCTATCTTCAACATACAGTACCTTAACTTCCACTGTCGATTCACTACTCTGAAATAAACAGAAAAATACTGTTACTAACAATAAAAAACAAATGGGGCATAATAGAACGCTAGTGGAACTCCATGAAATGTTTTATTGTGCCCTGAACAACTATTTCAAGAAACCTCACATCAACCATTTTCATTTCATTCTCTCCTCTCCATACGATGAACAAGAAGTCGAAATGCCAAAGTCGAGCAAAATTTTAAGAGATACGTATGCAATGAAATGTTTGAACATATTGAATAAAAATAATTACTCTTACCTTTTAAATTTAAAATCTCTATGAATGGCAATTTTTGTTTCACCACAAAAAACTTCACCTCTGGAGTTTGTCAAGCAACTACGAATAGTAATAGCGATTGCTGGCTTTATTTATAAATCGCCCTTAGTGCTCTCTGTGAGAATCTTATTGCACTAGAAGACTTTTCGTTTCGTTCTGTGCACTGACTATTTCATTGTTCCCCATGTTTCATTGTGCCCCAGCCTGCCCTTCTTTAAATTAATGTTATTAGATAATTCGATTATTCATCAAAACCAAACAATATTAAGTGTTACCGATTTTATACCACACCACTTTCAATATTTTGCACAAAGTTAGTAATTTATATACTGGAATCTATCATAAGTAGACGAGCAAAAACAAGAGTAGCTATTGATGAGTAGTTAGTAACGAAAGAATAATTACTGTAGAAATTACGTACTTTGTTTATAATGATGCACAATATGCACCGAATTATGATGCACGTGTAGAAGATAAAAATGAGTTCTTGAAATCTTTAGCATCTGTGCTGGATAATAGTGTTGCCCAAATGCAAGAACAAGACGAGACATAGACAGTCTTGGTCTTACGCCAATACATCTGGTCTTGGTATTGCACTCCCGGTCTTGGTCTTGGTCTTGCAGCAAGAGTTTTGCAAGTCTCGCAGTTACCCATTAGCCTATTGCTATTTATTAAACGTTACTTTAGATCTTAGAATAACGTAACAGAGTAACTACATTTTAAGCTTGAATTAACATAGCCATAATAAAGACCAACCAAATAAGCGATCCGTACCTATGCTCAGACTAACTCAGCTATCTACCTTGCCCCACGGAAGTCAATATGTTTCTTAATAAACGTTTGCATTTAATAAGCTTACATATATGCTAAAACATGGTTAAAATACAAAAAAAAACAAATTGATGACATAAGTGATGAGTGTTTGTAAATTAATAAACTTTTTGGTGTTTTGTAGGGTTTTATTTATTCCTAATTCATTTTAGCAGCTTCAAGTTATCAAATCGTATAACTTACATCGAATAATAAACAATCAGAATGCCCACTCTGCTTAAAAAAATAAGTACGCGCATCTCGCTCGCACAGACGGAATCAGCCTTGTTTTAAACGAAACCAGTGCTGTTCAGTGACATTTTATCTGGTATGCGTAGACAAATTAACCCGGTTTAATTTATTTACGGCAACTACAGCACTATTTATGCACTATTTTATTCGTACTTTTAGTTGAAGAATATATTAAATTATTTCAAATGTACTAAATTATTAATCTCATAAAAATTTAAATTACAGTTCTGTCGAAGCTTGTCACAAATTTCTCAATTCGAGTCTATCTTTCCGTCTAAAACATGGCGTTCGCGTGCTGACAAACTTCAAAAGCGACATCTGAGAGTGGGCATTCTGATTGTTTAATATTCTGTGGTTTTACCTCAAAATAAAAGCAAATAAACTAATATACATGAGCAAACATGATTTAAAACAACTCCAGTTAAACATGCAGACTTTAATCCGAAATTGAATATCTATTTAATAAAATTTCGCATGTTTTCTGGCAGTTTATTGAATTAAAATATTCAAAAACCTTATTGAAAAACTGTTAATAATAACTTTATATATTAAACCCACGTAAAAATAATTAAAAGACGTCGATGTATAAATAATTATGAATCAAACGATTGTTTCATAAAAATTAGTATGAAAGTCATGAATATTGAATGCTCTTCCGCTCTTCCTATTTTAAATATCAAAATGAAGTTTGACTTTGACAGTGTATAACAAACCCTCTGGTTGTCAATTGTCACTACTGTTTACGGTTGCCGTTCTTGCTTATTTGTTTACACTGTTCCACCTGTACCCAGGTATTTTTAATACCAAATAGCAGACACCTAAAGCTAGAAAGAGAACACCTGACATTAGGCAAACACTACGGATATCAACGAACAAGTCTGTTGTTTTCTAAAGATATTTTTCCTGTGTCAGAAATGTGAATAGAATGTAAATAAGTTTAATATGTACGAGAATAAGGCGTAAAAATAGATTACACTTAGCTCTTTTTCTCATAAGTGTAGGTTAATGTAATTTAAATAATATAGTGTATAATATTAAGAATAACGTAATTATTAAGATACTAGTAAAAATTATTTAACATTGCATTATTTTGTTTTAGTGACAGAAAAATATGCAGAATGCCTTTTAAATTAAAACTAAAAAAGTCCCGACATTATAGTGTAGTATCAAATTCATTATTTGTAATATCTGTCGAAATTCTTGATGGAACTACTGTAGAATGTACCCTTTCTTCAGAAAGTACTGGACAAGACTGTTTAGATGTAGTATGTCAAAAGCTCAGTTTAAATCAACCAAAATTCTTTGGACTTCAATATATTAGTAAACACAGTGATAACAATTTGTGTTGGTTAGAATTGGATAGACCTATAAAAAGGCAATTAGATAAACATGCTAAAGGTCTATGTGTATGTCTTAGAGTCATGTACTATGTTATATCTGGTGTCAGATTATTCAATGATGAGGTCTCACGGTAAGCTGTTTGATATTATGTTATATGCTGTATTTAGTAAGGTATAAATAATACTGGATCCTACTTTATTTCAGTTTAAAAATTTCAAGTCATTGTTATTGTAGTTTTCAGTTTGGGAGTTTCAGTTTTATTTCATGTGCCTGTTACAATTTACTTCAAACAGCTTAGGAATGGATTTACAAAATTTTTTAAAGTATTGGTACTTGATCATCCAGAAGGCTGTATGTTAGAAAAAATTAGAAGCATAAATGAGCAGGTAACATGCAAACAGTCTTAAGTCACACAAAAATTAAAGTTGAGTTAGATGTACTAATGCATTGTTGTGTTGTAACCAAAGTGGTTTTTTTATATTCGCAAAAAAAATTATTACCAATGGTAAAAACATGTTAAAAATTACATTTACATCCAAAACAACTTATTCCCACTATACTGGTCCATGCTAACCAGCTTATTTCCAACCAACCAATAGGAACTCTTCAACTGCAACTCAACTGAACCAGTGAGTCTTACACATTTGAGATTATGTGAGGGTTTATTGTCAAAGTATTGAAAAACAATTAGTAATTACTTTATAGACAGATGAAAGTGTAAGTGTTGGTGAAGGACATGAAGGGACTAGTGAGAGAAAAGTTACTGTAAAGTAAGACAAAGTAATCTACACTTGGACAGAGAAGCAGGCAGGAAAAGACAGTGTGGAGATATCAACGGCTCTCTTTAACTATTTAAAAGAAACTCACATTTAATGCTGTTCTGTACGAAGATTGATTCATTTGAAGAACACTGATTGATTTTTTGAAAACACCCAAAACATCAAACAGTGGTATAGGTAAGGTAAGAGCTCTAAGAGAAAATTGGCAACTTCTTGATACTAAGAGGCTAAGTGAATACTATAAGTACATCCAATCAATTAGTGAACTAAGGGGAATTGAAATATGTTACCGGACACAAGAAGAAATTGAACGCCTCTGAAAAAAAGGAAAATGAAAGTCTTACATAAATATTGTGTAGGCAAGAACCTTGAAAATCTACAAGTATGAAGGAAAAAGTCTTTTATATCTTTGAGAAAGAAAGGAAAAAAATCTTAGACAAGTAAGACTTAAAGAAATCCTATCTCCTCATGTGTTAACCAAAGAAATGACAAATATGTTCACAAACTTTTGAAAAAAATGTTTTTCTGACTCACGCCTTGGTTGGTACCAGACTTTGATTTTTGATAAACACACTACAGCAGCTGCTGGTGGGGAGCAGGAAGTAATGAGTGACTGTCTTGACCGTGAGCGCTGTGACTTTCATATTTAAGAAAATGTTTGTTGCATTAACTACCTATTATGACAATGTTTGTCATTTAGGTAAGGCCCATATATATATTATTTACAAAAATAGAAGTTCATTCAGAAAACCATTGTCTTTTACTTTATTGCTTTTTTTACTTTAGTTACATACAAAACAATTTATTTTCACTGAGTTCATGCAAAAGGTCTTATAGACAAAACAAAATCAATTTTTTAAAAAATATTTTTAGCTACCCTAACTGAAATAAGTGTTTTAATCTTATGTTTGGAACCAATACTATTGCATAACATTGACTAGAACTCATTATCCTTTTTCATTGTAAAGCTACAAGTTTTTCACACTCCACGAAAAATTACTTATTTGTGACTTAAGCTTGTTTTCATTTTACCTCCTCAAATATAAATAAAAAATATACAAATATATAATATAATATATATATATATATATATATATATATATATATATTAATGGGAATCATTGTATGAAGTATAAAATTTTATATGACATAAAAATAAAGTAGATAACTTCACATGTTTGATCAGTAGGATATTATTTTCTGTAAGTTGTAACAGTTCTACAAAACAAATTGTAAAAATATCCTCTATGGGAGATGATCAGATGATCTCTTCACTGTTGCCTACTTTATTTCTTACCATCTAAGTACATTGTTTCATCTAGAGAAGCCTAAAGATGACATTCTTAGGCTTCCCAAATATATTTTTTTACATTTAATATTTTGTAGATACCATTATTTTTTACAACTCAAACAAGATGTTATAGAAGGTAGAATATCTTGCACTCCACAACAAGCTGTAGAGTTGGCCAGTTATTCTATGCAAGCTGAGTTTGGTAATTTTGATGCTGAAAGACACACTGCTCATTATTTAAAAGATTTCCAGCTTTTTCCCAAGGTATGTTTCCAAGTTTATATAAATTTATTGTTAGACATATTAAACACAAAATTTTAATGTAGGCATTTTTATGATATAACTAGTTACGGAGATTTAAAGAAGAAGTATGACAACAAAGCTTAAAAGCAAGTAAAGCGGCGGGTTCTCTTAATGACACAATCTGGAAGAACAAACACCTAAGACAAGACACAAAAACAAGAATCTATAAAGCAGCAATTAGACCTCTATTAACATACACGGCGGAGACAAGACCTGACACATCTAAAACGAGACAACTGCTAGAAACGACAGAGATGAAAATACTCTGACGAATATCAGGGAAAAGTCTTTTGGATAGGGAGAGAAGCGAAAACATAAGAAGTGCATGCAATATAGATGACATAAATGGATGGGTGACAAAACGAAAACAGGAGTGGAACGAACATATCAGTAGAATGGCAGAGGATAGAATAGTACGAATAGCATGAGATAAGTCACCAAATGGATGAAGAAGTATTGGCAGACCAAGAAAAAGATGGTGCGACAATTTATGAGGCTAATATCGAAGAAGAAACAGGCTCTAAAGCCTATATACTAGAAGGAAGAAGAAGAAGCATTTTTATAATATAATCAGCTGACCCACTGAACTTCGTATCTTGTTAAAATGAAATAATGTATCAAAGTTCAATAAGCTCCTCTTTTGAGTCTGTAATAACAATAAAATTAGTAATGCTTTTTCTGTCCATCCCCAGCAACAAGGAAATAAATTCCACCAGATCCAATGTTCACAGCTTCTATCAAAGTATTGTATGCAATCCTTTGCTGTTGATTCAATTGTAGAAAATTTGTATGAACTATTTCGACAAATACCTCAGTGATGAACTGTTGTTCTCTTTTTTACTGTTGTTCTCTTTCATAAAGTCACAAAGGAAATGAATAACATGTCAAATATTAATAGTGAGTCATAAATTTTCTGTACCTATTATAAGTGCAGTGTCCAAGTTAGGTACGTTTATTTTAAATTAGCTGTTTTTTCAATGGTTCTATATTTTAATGTTATTTATATTATTCTCATTTTTGTATAAAGTTTGCATCTTAATGTGTGATATACACTAAATACATAATATTCGTTTTAGAAATAATTCAGGAGTTCCATACATTGGTCTCATATTGTATACATACTACCCTACACAATGTGCATTTAGAAAATTTTGATAGATTATACTCACCTCGAGACATAAAACATCGTGAAATCTTCATAACTTTTTGTTGTAGGCTTTTACAGATTCTTCTCTCTTGGAAACCCTTACAGAAGCAGCAAGTAGGCAACATTCTGCCTTACATAACTTACCACAGGGTACTGCTGAAGAATATTATATTTGTGCGTGCCAACGTTTAGATGGATATGGACAAGAAGTTTATGTTGTAAAAGACCATGAAGGTGTGGACACTTTAATTGGAATATGTTTGACTGGAGTTTATGTTGGTTACCCTGGCGGCAAAGAAGGGCGTCATTTTAGGTAATTGTTTTTGTATTACTCAAAACCTATAGTTTTTAGCTAGTTTGGCTGTTGCTACTTACATACCAAGTGGTTATTAGTAGCGAAACGAGTCATGTGCTTATGACTTTATTCTTCAACATTTTACATTGTAATGAGTACGTCAAATTTGACACTTTTGTAACAGATTTTATCTTTTTAGTTGGTCAGATATAAGCAATGTTATTAATCACAAGAGAGATTTTACTATTGAGTCTGTTGGTGGTACTGATAAAGCGGAGTTTCAATTTAACGATGTGGAAAGTGCAAAAAATGCATGGCGGTTCTGTGTTCTTCAGCACATTTTTTACAGACAGTATGAAATGAATAATATTGAAAATGAGAAAGCTTTACCCAAACCTCCAATTTTTCAACAAAATGAGGTAAGTATTAAATGATGTGATTACCTAATTAGTTTGCTATTATTTTTATCAAAACCTGAGGCTACAATTGTATAACATTAAGGCTGGTTTATTCGCTGTTACTATTATATTACTAATGTACAACTTTTAGGATAAACTTAGGCAAAGAGACAGTTATGAGGATGTGACGAATTCTTCATTACAGTGGGACAGACCAGTTTCTTCTACCCAAAGTCTAACACATAGAGCACAATCGACATCATGCTTAGATCTCAACAAACAGACTGATTTAGAGACTCTTAGAAGTCTTTTACCATCCTACCGTCCAGCTCCTGATTATGAGACTGCGGTGCAGCATAAATACAGAAATTCTTCAGGTAATTATTTTTTCATTATTGTTTAATACCTTTAATTTTGTTTAACATCCTTTGGTTATGTGCAGCTGACGGGAGGGGATATATGTGAAGTGAAGTGTGAAGCTTATCAGCTTTCGACAGACTATTTATTTGTTTTGGCATATCACAATCACAATGCACAACAATAATTAGTTTTTAAAGCTATTAATCTAAATTTAAAATGTATTTATAAATAGAATTTATTAATATATATTATATTAGGATCAAATTGTGTAAGAAATCAAAACATAAACAAAATTTCTACTCCAAAAAGCGGCAACACTTTATACACTTTTGCCATCCGCTGAACTGTCAATAATATTTGATGTACTTCCGTATCAGTTGCGTACAATTGTCTAATATATTTAATTAAAATTATTATTTTGTGGAATATTAGACTTCAAGAGTTATTTCATAAAATTTATATTATTAATAATAATAAATGTTTTTGGTTATTTAATCAATATAATTCTAAAATTTCCAATACATATATAATGATTATATTTTTCTGATTATTACACCATGTTGACGCCTATGAAAGATCGGGCAGTTCCGTATGGGCTTCGTATTATTAGCTGTGTTAGGAATATTTGAACTATAAGGTTGATGTTCTGGAAATTTTAAATACAAGTGACGTCACTTTGTGTAAATCGTGACGTGCAAGTGTTTTCTTTTAAAAATGCTATAGAAAGAAACTTATTTAATGATTACTATACTTCCACATATTGTTAACATAAATAGTTTTATGAAATATTTCTGTAAAACAATAATATGTACTATTACAATAATATATAAATATAATTTATAATTACAATTACACAAAAGTGGAGTTAGGATTAGGATCTCAAAAAGTCATTCAAATAAATGAATAGTATGCCGCAACAATGTTGTAAGCGACAGAATTGAGATTACGCAAGAGATGAAAAAAACTTGAAGTTCCATACAACTGACCAGTTTGTGCAGTTTGGTGCGCAGTTTGTGCATTATAATCCAGCCTATGAAATGTTGTGAAGAGATCTCCAAACTGGCCTTGAATTATAGAAGCCTCGCAAACAGATTTGCACTAACATAGTAGCTCATATAATATATAAAAATACTTATTTGAAGTTACAGAAAGATGCCGAATTTCAAATCATACACTCATTATGGACGAGAACAGATCATAACAAAGCTAACAACAATGATAAAGCTACAAAAAAATGCGTTTCCTAACAAAATATACAACATTGTTGCACTCACCCAGCAATACCATGTGGACGGGGTATTGCATGTGGACAGCGACACGTTAATCCATTTTTACAGTGATAGTAGTTTGACAGTGACGTACATACGTTTTTGCACGGATACCAACATTGCGGTACGAAAACTCAGGGAAGGCAAAATATTTTCAGCCAGATTGAAATATGCCCAGACTGGTCTTTGGATATACAACAATATTGCATTAAAATCTCACTTTGACCTAATCTGTCGCTTACAAAATTGTTGGGGTCCACCATTCAATTACTCTTTTTTTGGCACAGATAAGCTCTGTAAATATATAAATTGGTATTACATTATTGTTAAAAAAATATACATATATTTATAAAAAACACATTAATAGTGAGAGGCAGGAATTGTTGTGTTGTATATTTTCGACAATGAATCTGTCAAAATATTCCCTAGTTGAGCGAACTGACCATACCACAAACCATTAAAAAACAAGTACTTTAACACTTGTATACAAGTGGTTCGTACTGAGGGTGCGACATGAGATTATTTATTAACAAGTGTCTACATATACACGAACGCAATACTTCTATACTAGTACTTTGCACTGAAAGGGTTAATAGCCACAGTTGCGGAGGTACATATCTGAGTATAACCGGGAGTTTAGATGAAAATGTGTAATTAGACTTTGCTGTTTCGATAATGATTTATATAAATTTGACAGGAAGGAATGTTGGTTCGTATTAAAAATAATTTTATGTCATCATAAACATAAAAACAAAATATTTAAAATTTGAAATTTATATGTGAATGAAAATAATATATAATGTTATGAAATATATGACTAGAATCAGGCATATCAAACGTACCTTTTAAATTGCAGGTGCCATACCCTCAAGGGAACCTCTACGAGACGCTCATCCCATTTTGTACAGTTCTCAGCCAGAAATACATCAAACAGATGCTTATCCCACTCATCTTCACTATCCAGACGTCACGCACAATAACATAGAACAGAAAAATCTGTTATATAGTACGGCATTTCCCCGATCACCAGTGGTCGATAATATGGGAATGCTTCATGTTTATAAATCACCTCCCCCATATCCTACTAATAAAATCAGCTCAAACTCAACACCTGATTTAGCTGGCATATCACAACAAGTCAAGCCCCATACTGGATTCGTTAGTAATATCGTCAGTGGATCAAGTCCTGATTTGGTTTCAGGAGGAAATTTTTATTTAAGACAGTTGTATGCAGGCCATCCTGCTCATCCTGTTCACAGGTAAGTTTTATTGTAATGTTTCTTTATTGTCTGGAAATTGTCTATACCGGTGATACTGCAGTCAATTGGATTATTGTACATCTTGCATTAATGATTATACACGTCCTAGGGACACGACAGATCTGCTATACATATATAATTAGTGTACTTTCCTCCATGGTCATCTTGGTCAATATATGAGGAGCATTGCAGGTATATTGGACTTAGCGGATAGATTCAGTGATTGTGAATTCTGTATTTGTGGTGAACAACCTACCTGAGGCATCCTGAGATAATCTTAATAATGGTGTTACAGTTGAGTGTCCGCATTACTTCAGTAAATATTATTTGTACTTGCTACAATTTTCAAAATATGTCACAAGTAATATAAATTAATAATACCTTTTTAGATCTAGTTTTCTGTACTTAGAGGGATGCAGTTGTGTCGATTTCAACTGCTATTTTATTGAATACTTGCAACATCATTCAGCTTATACTATATTGTTACATTCAGCCAATTTAAATTTGTTTCTTAAATATGATGTCTTCTATACTACGTTCCACGTTTAGAAAATAACATTGCAGAGATAGGGCCATGTATTTCTTATGGACGATAGCAACGCGGCGTTGCCACGACACACACAAGTACAATTAAGGGTTGTGTAATTTGTATTTTTTTTTAAATTGGTATCGATAAATCTCACCTGGTCTTGCAGAAATAGAATTATTGATGAATAACATGGATTTTCTAACGGAAAGTCAACAGTAACAAAACCCTGTCAGTTACCAACAATATTTGTTGGGTGCATTTGAGAATAAAATTCAGGTCAACAGCATTTATACTGATTTCTCAAAGGCTTTTGACCAGGTTAATCATGACCTTTTGGTCCACAAACTTCATGCATCTGGCTTTGGCACCTCATTGTTAATTGGATTCAAAGTTTTCTGATGCGAAGTACACAGCAAGTGTATTAACAATTATATTTCAAAAGAATTCCATTGTTGTTTTGGTGTCCCACAAGGGTCTCATTGTGGTCCCTTGTTTTTAAATTGTTCATAATCGATGTTGGTAAGGCTATTAAAAACTCACACTTCCTGCTATTTGCTGATGATCTTAAGTTATTTCGTTGTATACATGATAAATCGGATAGAGATCTCTTGTAAGATGATCTAAATAATATATGTTTATGGTCACAACAAAATGTCTTAAGCTTAAATCCAACTAAATGTTCTTGTATTTCATTTGCTTGTATAAATAATCTAATAGCTAATAGATATGTTCTTAATGATGTACTCTTGAATTCAGTTAGTGAGATTAGAGATTTGGGTGTATTATTGGATTGTGCATAGACATTTCGAAGCCATTTTCTTAAAATGAAGGAAACAGGATTTCGTAATCTTGGTTTTATTTATCTTAACAGTCATGATCTCTCACCTATTGTATTCAAATTATTGTATTACTCTCTGATACGCTCAGGTCTTGAATACTGCTCTGTTGTTTGGTCCCCGTTTCATCAAGTCTACATTGATTGCCTGAAAGAGCCTAGTGTTTAATGCGCTGGATTTGATGTGGTTAACTATTTTAATTGCTAAGTTTAATGTGACGTTGAGAGGTTCAGGTAAAGTCTGACTAGCTAAAGCTTGTCTGTGAATAATGCAGTGAGAACCAATTATCCTAGGGTTCTTCTTTTTAAAACAATTTTTCCTCCAGGAACCGTTTTCTGTCAATAAATCGACAGTAAGACAATAACTGTGCATGCTTTGAAATATCAGTTGTTTCGTCACACTGCAAAGAAAAAAACGATGAACCTTTTAACTTTTGATTTTTCAAATCCAGAGGAATGTCATCAATTCTACGTTTTTTTTACTGTGTCGTTTGAGAGAGAAATTTTTTCTACTTTCTTACAACTGTCTTTCACTAAGTACGGTACTACAAGCAGTAAGTAAACAAGGTTTAATTAGTGACTCACTAATAGTATGTGGTTTCTTGTCTTTAACTGTCAAAAGTGCTATTTTCTACGATGCTTCTGCAGATTTCTCATTTTCAACACGAAAATTTGCGGTAGAGTCAAGTTTCATACGTTTTAGGCTGCTTTTTTGGCAATAAAAAATTCTGGGCCTTTATCTTTCAAAGAAGAATGGTTTGTAATTAGATGCCGTTCCAAACGTCCGGGGCGCATTGAATCATTACTAAGAACAGCATGGCAGTTGACACACTGAGGTAAATGACTGCCGTTTTTCTCCATAAAGGTAAAACCATACTTGATATAATCGTCTGAATACAATCTTTTCTTTGGAAGTGACTGAGCCATTTTCAAAGCTGTTACACAACACTATTAAATAATTCACAAACAATCACTGTTACTAAATAACGGTTACACTGATTGTTACAACCAGCACACAGACGCTGTCAGGAGTCACTGAACTGGAACCAGGAGTGCTTGCAATATAGTGTTGGTAAATATACTTTGAGCTTCTACGATGTTGCCATACACAAGACTGTCGTGTTTAACTCAGGTTGTGTAATTTTAATCACGTTTAAATAAAGAAATATTTCTAAACAAAATAAAAACACGAAATACAAAATATTTTGTTTTTTAACAAAATATATATTTTTTAATTTTTCTTTTTTTTTCTTTGTACCCTCACACCTCCCCTGAAATTCTCTCACGCCTCCCCAGGGGGGCGCGCTCCCCATGTTGAGAACCACTGCTCCAAGTCGTTAGGAAGTAACAAAAACAAAATTTGTTTGGTTTATTAATGTTTTATATATTAAGAACGATGTGAACGAAGTGGAAATCAAAATATCAAAAAATAAACATATTTTAAATTTAAATTGTGGCTTATTCTCATTAAAAATAGTAATTGCCTTATTTTTTTAGGTACAGATTGCTACAATTGAGTACAATATGTGCTAATAATCCTTATATCTTTTTATATATCCAGGCTAATAAAATTATTTTATTAGTTTATTGTATTGTAGCAACAAATGATTGTTAAAGATTAATATCCAACACAAGCGTGTAATTTGTTGACATTTTAATGTTTTTCTGCTGCTCGTGTAATTTCGATGTTAAGAAGAGCTACATCTTGAACATATTTGTTGTTCCCTCGTATTAGTGACGTATTATATTTACTATTTTATCAATAAGATATATTTAATCCACACTAAACAAATAGCAATTTCCTAGAAATTTTCTGTAAATTGTATTTATCTACAAGGTAAACTGTAAATAACAAAAGTGATAACGTTTAATTACTATTTTATTCATATATTTTCACATTTTCGATATTTAAAAAGTAATTTATTTGAAATAATTTTGATTTTGTATTAATAGATCGCATAGTTACCTGCCACCTCAACATGGCACCTACGAAAATCTAGCCTCGATATTTAACAATAATATGTTGGGCAGACCTCAAGCAGTTATCGTAGAAAATCCTAACATTACAAAGCACATAAAAAAAGTTTACGACGAACATGGAAATATTATTTACTGTATGCCTGCGAATATGAAACAGATACTGCAAGAAAATCAATTACCAAGTACAGGTAAGTTATCATCATTTTTAATTATCTCTGTTTCCTTGGAAATGCGCGACCAGTACTTTAAAATTTTGCTGTAGGGTTTTAAAAATATCATATTTAAACGAGTTGTTCTTATCGTCTTTTTCGCCTGTACAACAAATGCAATCGGAATATTTTATTTTAGTTCTCTTTTAATTGTTTTTTCCACTTATTTTATTCCAGATTAAAGTTATTTTAAACGGAAAGCTATATATATACTCGTATTCAACATAATGGAGTACCACAAGGTTCGGTTATAAGCACAACTTTGTTCAGTTTGGCATTTAGTGATCTAGACAAAAGCATTTATCTCCCTGTAAAATACGCAGTATATGCGGATGACCTTGTGCTCTTTTGTAGAGGAAAGAATATCGAAACAATCTGTCGAGTAATACAAACAGCCATTGATAATATAGAAAGGTGGTCGAAGCATGTCGGACTTTTCTGCTCATTGAAAAAAACTAAAATTATGAAATTTAGTAGAAAAACGACAAAAGATAATCCACCTTTGACATATTGACACATGACATATGAGTATTACTAGATTTTATTAATCATCATAAAGTCTTAGGACTGACCTTCGACTCCAGACTTACTTGGAATACACATATACAGGAAACGAAAGGCAACTGCTTAAAAAATATTAATACCCTAAAAAGTCTAGCACATTTCCAATGGAGAGCTGACGAAGAGATATTGTTTACAGTTTACAGATCCATTATTCGCTCCAAAATAGACGATTGTAGCTTTGTCTATATGCCTGCCTCTGAGTCACATTTGAAAGCTCTTGACTCCGTCCACAATATGAGTCTTAGGATCTGCTTAGGTGCCTTCAGATCTAGCCCAGTTCAAAGCATGTACTGTGAAGCTAACGAACCGCCACTCTGGTTAAAGAGACAACGTCTTCTTTTGTCATATGCAACTATCTTATCAGCCAATCCACAAAATCCAGTCTATCATCTATTTATTCAACCAAATAATCTCATCCATCATTCTCAGACTACTAGAGCTGTCCAATCTCTCTCTTGTATACTAAATTCTCTCCTCGATGGTTTTGATTTTACCATAACGTCATCCTTTCATATCTCTACACATCATTTGTGGCATTCCTTTATTCTTTCAATAAACATGAAACATGTTCTTTATACAGATGCCTCTAAAAATGATGTAGGGGTGGGTAGTGCTGTTGCTACGTCTTTTAGCACTACTAAATTAATCAGACTTCCTGTCGTTCAATCAATCAAATCTCCTGGTTGTTGGTCCATTTTTCATTTATTATGGTGCCGAGGTAGTTGTAGTGCGTCACTCTTTCTGCAGTTGACGTAGAGTTGACCTTCTGATATCCTTTTCTTGCTAATTATTATAAGCTTTGTCTTCTTAACGTTTATGTCGAGTCCATATTGTTGACCTTTGTTCATAAGAACTTGTAGGTCTTCTAAGTTGTCCGCAAATACTATGGTGTCATCTGCATATCTGATGTTGTTTAGCCGGTAACCGTTTAGTAGAATACCTTTTTCAGTTTCGTGCAAAGCTTCGATAAATATTGTTCAGTACAGATTGAAGATTAGAGGAGACAAAATACAGCCTTGCCTCACTCCACGCATGATTTTCACATAGTCGGTGTGTTCACCTTTAACTCTGAGATTTGCTATCTGATTCCAGTAAAGATTTCTAATTATTTTCAGATCTTTGTTGTTAATTCCTGTTTCTTTTAGTATTTGCATCATCTTGGCGTGCTGTACTCGATCAAACGCTTTCTCGTAATCAACCAGACAAGCGTATACGGCGCAGTTAACGTCTCTGTATCTCTGGAATAAGACTGGTAATGAGAACAAAGTCTCTCTAGTACCAACAGCATTTGTGAACCCGAACTGGTTGGGGGAAATTTGACTTTCACACATCTTGTAGATTCTCTTATGAATTATCTTTAGGAACAATTTTAGGAGATGGTAAATGAGGCTTATAGTACTGTAATCTTCGCATTTTTTTTTGCTCCTGCTTTTTTTGGAAGTGCGTTAAACTCAGATTTCAACCATTCTGTTGGTATTTCTCCAGAGTTGTATATGTTGTTAAATATCTTTGCGATTATTGCTATTGATTTGTTGTCCATTAGTTTGAGTAGTTCTGCTTGTATATTACCAGGGCCTGCCGCTTTGCCATCCTTTAACTGTGTTATTGTGGAATAAACTTCCTGCTGTAATATTCTTGGTCCATCATTTACCTCTTCTTCTATCTCAAAGGTGTTATCTCTTTGGTCTTCAAATAGTTTTTCTATTTATTTTCCACGTTCTTATTTTACCCTTTCCAAGATGATGTTTCCGTCAGAATCAGTTATATTTCCTTTCTGCCTTCACCTTAGTCCCCATGTGAGTTCTTTAACTTTACTATGTACATTATGACTTTCGTACTTTGACTGCAGAGTCTCAATTTCTTCGCATCTTTCCCTTGCTTCTTTTTCTTTCGCTTCTCTGATTTTCATTCTTATTAATATATTTATGAGTTTATATTTGTCTGGGTCAATTTTGGTTTCTCTTCTCTCGTCCATTAATTCTCATCTGTCATCCATGATTTTTTTCTTCATTAATCTATCTGTCTTTAAGTGTTTATCCTTTACATTTTGCACTATTTCTGTAATATGTTTGATCATTTGTTGTTCGTTCGATTCGTGCCTAATTGCAGTCACTTGCTCGTTTAACGTGGCTTGGACTCTCATCCTCGTATCAAGGTCTTTCAACATACGTAGGTCGTATGATTGTGCTTTCCTTTTCTGTACTGTTTTGAGTTTGACTATCTCCAAATCTGCTCCAGGATAAGTCTTGACATATGTAAAGCTGTTTCGGAATCTTTTATTTACTAAAATGTAGTCTATTTGATTCCTAATAATTCTACCGGTTTTGTCTTGAGGGGATTTTCACTTGCACAGCTTGCGAAATGGTAACTGGAAGAATGTGTTGGTGACAACTAGTTCTGAGTCTTCTGCGAATTTATTTTTCTGTGAGTTCTCCTTTCTCGTTTCTGACTCCTAGTCCATGTGCTTCAATGTACTGTGTCTTATCTCCAGCTCCAATCTTGGCATTAAAATCGCCCATAATGATGAGAACTTCCTATCGAGGAATTTTCTGTATGATACTGTTGATGTTCTGATAGAACTTAATTGCTTCTTCCTCCCCTTTGTCTGCAGTGGGAGCATGGACTTGGATGATGTTGATATTATTAGGGTTGCCTTCTACTTGTAGTAACATCACTCTCTCTGATTCTCTTCAATCATCAATTCTTAAGATTATGGCTTAATGAAATATTATAGTATCCCAAATTTCAAACAGATCGACCAAATAGTTTATAATTTATTAAATTTTTTTTATCCCGGAGAGCTACTATTTAAACAACTGTGCTTGAACAAACAGTCACTTTACAGGTATTTTATAGATTTATTTAAAAGCTTCCAACATTTTATTAAATTTGTTATTAAATAAGCTTGAAAAAATGACATACGTTTTTGCTTCTAAACATTTATAATACCTGATATTTTTTATGTCACATGGTTGTAAAGTAGGTAGCACCAAGCACTGGTGAAAAAACTAACTTAAAAAAAACAGCATCTTCTATGACTAATAACAAGAAACAAGCTGAGATATTGCAGCGGACAGTTGTTCCTTCACTTCACTGCTTCACCCTCCACTTTTCACTGGCAGTATTTTACAAGTACAGTAGACTCGCGATTATCCGAGTCCCGATTAACCGAGCCTTTGGATTAACCGAGGTAGTAATTAAAAAGAACAAATTATGTAATAAATTAGCTTGGAGAGCGAGAATAATTGAAAGCGTATGCGCTGGCTGTTGGTACGCTGAAGAGATGAGTCACTAGCGAGTGTTATTATTCTAGACATTATGCTTCTACTGGCCGCCTCTACATCCACTCCCCTGCCGGTCAGTTTAAGTCATCACAGCTAGCTGTTCGGTTCGTCCCACTGTAAGCTCTTACAAGTTCATTCGTGTAGTTTCTACGTAACTTTAAGCGCAATATGAGTTTAAAACGTAAACGAGTTGTGGTTTCTTTAGAAACAAAATTAAATGCTATAAAACGCTTGGATAAGGGTGTAAGTAAAGAAGGTTGCTGCTAACCTAGGTGTTGGAGAAGTGACTGTGGAGATTGGAGACGTAAACGAAAAGATATTGAACAATGGGTTAATAAAAGTGTGAGTGGGGGAAGTAATTTGTTGCGGACAACTTTGAAGAAAGGAGAATACAAGAGACTTCTGAAGCTTTATTTTATGGTTTTCTAATCTTCGAGGGGTGGGAAGTCTAATTAGTGGCCCCATGCTTCAAGCTGAGGCTGTCGAGTTTAACAAACGGATTAAGGATGGCGAGAAAAATTTTACTGCAAGTGATAGTTGGCTCGACAGATAAAAGATATGGCATCCGACAACTGAACATTTCGGGTAAAAAAACTTTTGACCGATTCATCTAAAATTGAGCCGTTTATTTTAAATTAAGCCGTTTAATTTTAAATAGGGAGATCTCATTTTAGAGCATGGCCTCACGTCAGATAAAATCTTCAATTGTGACGAAACGGGTTTTAATTTCAGAATGCTTCCAATTTAAACACTGGCAGCCAAAAGTAAAAAAACTGTATAGGACCTGTAAAAGCATATATAAGTACATATATAGCATCATGTATAGGAATCAACGTAGTGAGTAGATTGCCAAATTTTTAAAGATTGTTTTTTGACGAGTTCGTTTGCTTTGTTGAGACCTATTTAAAAAAAAACCTACTAAAAATAACTATTCTTCTTTTGGATAATTTGTCATCTCATCAAGATGCAAGTAGAGGTGACATTAGAGCTGTTTTCTTGCCATCAAACGTCACATCTCTCATTCAACCTTTTGGCCAAGCAATTTTAGAAGCTATGAAAAGAAACTATTGTCGAAGGCTTCTCCAAGTGTTGTTGACATGGTTGTATAAGGGAATGACTGTGACAGCAGCC